GGCTGGTTCGGGGCTCCAGTATCGGTATAGGCAGCAGCAGGGCGACCGGAAGATGCGGGAAGGCTGGGGCCGGTGAGCCCCCGCCAGCGCCTGGACAGCTTGCAGCTAAAGGGCTGGGCAGCCTGGAGCCCTTGGAGCGAGCATCATTCTTACGGAAACAGGCTAGGAGAGTTTGGGTTGTTCAGCCTGGACAAGAGGAGACTTTAGGGAGACCTTATAGTGGTCTTCCAGTACGTAATGGGGCTACAGGGAAGCAGGGGAAGGACTTTTTAAAAGGGCTTATAGGAATAGGATGAGGGGTAACAGTTTTGAGCTGAAAGAGGGTAGATTAGATATTAGGTAGAAATTCTTTCCTGTGAGGGTGATGAGACTTTGGCATAGGTTGCCCAGAGGGGTTGTGGATGCCCTTTCCCTGGAAGTGTTCAAGGCCAGGTTGGATGGAACTTGGAGCATCCTCATTTAGTGGGAGGTGTCTTTGCCCATGCAGGGGGGGTTGGAACTAGATGATCTTTAAGGTCCCTTCCAACCCAGACCATTCCATGTGGATTGGATACCCCAAACTTCCCTGCCACCATACCACTCACAGATGTGGTTCTCCATGGTAAGTCTCATTGGCTCTTCTGTCACACCTCTGTAGCCCAGAGTCTCAGTGAGGTTGTGTTGCATATCCATTAGCCTCAGCTGTATCTGCTCTGCAGCTTTGTGTAAAACTGTTTTGCCTTCCTTCTATTGAATATGTCATTACTAGGTTTCTATGATAATGAAAAATTTCTATCATAGGCCAGATGTTTGTGCAGCTTTTGATAGGTGGTAATCAATAATTTATCCTTTAAACTGACTTCTAGGTAGATCTCGTAGTTAGCAGCATTTTAATGTTGTCTGCCTGTTAGCAGCAGCGTGTTGCCTCCCAGAAATTCTGTTGTGTATCAAGAATAACACTTTATTGTCTTAACCTTCAGGTCCACAAAGCTATGTGGATGCCATGATTTTTTTTGGTCTAAAAATGTCCCACTAAGAGACTAACATTTTTCAGGAGTAAATTGCTGCATCAGTGATAGCAATGTGTTACTACTTTTTAATTTGTTTTAGGATTCTGTTAAGATTATGGCATGTTCAGGAAAATGTGGTACAGAACCAGGCAGCAACAGGCTGGATACCTAGCTCACATTTGATCATTGGTTTTTGCTCTGATTATATGTTTAGTCATACAAAACGAAAATCAGTAAAAAATTGGGTAGGAGGAAAAAAAAAATTGTTTTGCCTTCTTTGCACTTAGAAGCACATTTTAAAAGTATATGAAATATGCCTAATCTGCCTGGTAGATACATAAATGCTAGTGATGATCCTGACATTAGGTTACTAGCTGCTTACAAGTGCAGTTTGTTTACTAGAAGTAACATGGTTTTAAAAAAAATCCCCTTCTATTTCTGTATTACAGTTTGTTCCTATAAGCAAAGTTTAATAATGTGTGGAAAAATGAAGTAACAGTAGTCTTGGAGTTGTACTTTTGTGTTTATTATCACCAGGCTTAGTAATTACATTTTACATGCATGTAGCTTAAAGTTACAGTTTTTCCTTGCCTACTAACTGATCCAGGAAATTGTGGAGGTCATAAAAGTCCATTTATGTTCCTTCTCTTGTGTTTTTTTCACCTCATATCCTTTTTCACGAAAAATGAAAAATGAGTAAGAGTCATTGTTAACTCTTTTTCTTTATAAAACCACTGAACAGCACTTATTTGGCTGATAAGCTGAGATTCTGTACTCCCTGGTCTGTCACTGTCCATGACAGACGAGAGAACCTCCTGAGGGATATCTTAGCAGCACCATCTTACTGACTGGCATTTTCCCCACCTCTGGATTGTGACTGGCCTTTGTCAGAGGAAAGTGGAGAAGAGCATAGCCTAATCCATATTTCTGAGATGCTTCACATAGGTTATTGTGCTGTTTTGTTACATATGTTGTGGTAGATGGTTCTGTTTCGTTCTTGAGAATATTACCTGTTGAATATACCAGTTCTGTTTGAGGGAGGGAGAGGACTGAAGGAGGCTTGGTTGTTTTTCAGGACATTCTGTTTCAGCTTTAAAAGGAGTAAACTTTATCATTGTGGCCAGGACTCCAGGTCTTAGGGGGATGCTGTGTGTCATCAAGTATGCACCAGTTATTATTTCTTTGCCACCTGCTATCTTTCATCTTCACCGTTCTTGCTTATAATGCCCGTTGAGCCAGAAAACAGAGAAACTCAAGATGAACCGAAGTACTGCTGTTCTTGCTGTGCTGAGCAGAGGAATTTCTCCTCTTCCATTGAAGGAGATTATAAAGGAGTCTCTTTCTCTTTTCTCCCTTCCTCCAGCCAGCTGGATGATCATTCTTTTGCTGCTACAGTACTGAGCATTTCCCTTACAGCTGGAAAAATGCTGTGTCATTGGCAGGAACACAGGCACAGTTCTTCTTGCCAGGGGTCTCCCACACAGTGATAAGTGGTGTATAAGTCCAAGACATAGGGACGAGTGTATTCCTTTGTAGCTTTTACAGTAGGCTGACAGGTTTGTATGTAACGCAATGCCTTGATGATAAATACATTGAAATTTTCAACAAATTAATTTGTTCATTCTAAATATTCTAAGCATTGAAAATTGAAGAAAACAATGTCACTCTTTGCTGACCAACATTAAAAGAGCAAAGGGTGCAAATGAAAGTCAAAGCAGAAAGTCCAAACATCATGTTCTACAACTCCGAGCTCTTCCAAGTTGGTTGGTTGTTTTTTTTCCCCACTCTTTGTAAAAGGAGATATAAGTTACAATTTTTTCTTTATTAAAGGCCAGTTATGTTTTAACTAGCGTGTTATAAACCATGCATGCTAAGGGAATCCTTGTTTGGAAAACGGCTTTTCTGGATCCACAAAAGGAGTCAGGAGGTGGGAGGTGATAGCTGAGTCAGTATATTTAATTACCATTTTTCTTTTCTAGGGAGTGTGACAAAGTGATTCTGTCTACAGTTTTATTAATTCAATTATGCTTTTAAACCAGATTTTCATATCAGACATTTTAAAGGGCTATTAAAAAAATGCACATCCTTGAAGATAGATGGTATTGAACTAATAAGTAAGCAGTGATCTTAATGTTAATTCATCAAGGCACTTCTGTTAGTGTGAACATTTTCAGTGTTGTTTTTCGGTAGAGCAAATATATTTGGGGGGCCAGAAGTTGAATGGTCTCCTCAAGTTTACTTACTAAGAGGAAGAAAGCAACTTTCACAAAGTGTGAAAGGGGAAGGATTTGTCTCTCAGTGCAAATGATTCCATAGCATTAGAAAGGGTGTGGTTAGTAGGTCAAGAGAGGTTCTCCTCTCCCTTTATTCTGCATTGGTGAGGCCGCATCTGGAGTATTGTGTCCAGTTCTGGGCCCCTCAGTTCAAGAAGGGCAGGGAACTGCTTGAAAGAGCCCAGGGCAGAGCCACAAAGATGATTAAGGGAGTGGAACATCTCCCTTATGAGGAAAGGCTGAGGGAGCTGGGTCTCTTTAGCTTGGAGAAAAGGAGACTGAGGGGGGACCTCATCAATGTTTACAAATATGTAAGGGGTGAGTGTCAGGGAGATGGAGTTAGGCTTTTCTCAGTGATGACCAGTGATAGGACAAGGGGTAATGGGTGTAAATTGGAGCATAGGAGGTTCAAGGTGAATATCTGAAATTATTTTTTTTTTACTGTGACAGTGACAGAACACTGGAACAGGCTGCCCAGGGAGGTTGTGGAGTCTCCTTCACTGGAGACATTCAAAACCCACCTGGATGCGTTCCTATGTGATGTGCTCTAGGTGACCCTGCTCTGGCAGGGGGGGTTGGACTAGATGATCTTTCAAGGTCCCTTCCAGCCCCTAAGATTCTATGATTCTATGAATATTAACATTTTAAATTTGAGATAATATCCTTCAAGCTTGAAAGCTGTGTGTAAATAAAATTTAGGAATAACTGTAATTTAAGCTTAATTTGGAGGATATATAAGCCTTTAATTTTGTCTTCTCTAACCAAGGCTAGCAGTACACTTGTGGATCTGTGCTTGGTTGATTTCTGCTCTGAAATGAAGTGGGAAGAGAAGCATAAGCTCACAGCTGCCTGTGAAAATGAGCTCCCTCTTTAAATTAATTTGATGCAGCATTTTCCAAGATTATCTGTAGTGGCTCCTTAATATTGTGTTATCTGAACATAGGGATTACTACCGTCTGTGCTTCTTTCCTCTTCCTTTAATTTGTCAAATTCTAAATTGATTAACATTTTCCATGAGTCTCCTGACTTTATAATGTTTTGTAAGTGCATAGAACTAGAAGTATCTCTCACCTACATAGGTGAATTAATCTTACCCAAAGTTCTGTGCCTATATGTAATCTGATTGTCTAGACCATGGAGAAGCAGTGTGTTCAGAGTGTAATACCATTGGCAAAAAGTGGGTATTTGTGCTAAAATGAGATGGCTTGCAGCTGACTACCATTTTCTGCAGTTGGAGGCTAGGGCGACTTGCCTTGCTGTTCTTATTAATCTTAACGAGCCTTTCAGAAGAAGCATGTGGATCTTTGTAAGTCTGTGGATCAGAAGTTGCAGATCACTGGACTACACTGCTGAAGCCAAGCTGCTGTGATGTTCTCATGTAAATTCTCAGTTCCCCTGATGAAACCCGTAACTGCCAATTCCACCTGCTTCCATCTCAGCTTTATCAAGATGGGTAACCAGGGTTGAACATAATATTGCAGAAAAAGTCACACCATCCTGAAACATCACTTGCTCTTTTTCCTTCACTCGGTCACGTTAGTGATTCATAGTGTCCTGTGATTGACATGTGTATCTGGATCGTCATCCATTTAATAATTTCCAAATGGATGAATCTTGCAATTAGAGGATAAGTTTTTATTATTAGTCACTGTTATCAAGACTCCATATCTGCTTCAGTTCCACTTCACCCTGTTTCTACTGTTCAAACTTCAAAAAAATAATTTATGTGATACTGTAATCCTCCTGTCTATCAGTGATGCATCTTATCTTCTTGCCATCAGCAAATTTCCCTGGCACTTGGGTTTCCTTTTTGCCTTGTTTTTAAAGATCAAAATCACTCGTAAAAATGGTGAACACGGCAACTTTGAAGACACTGGCAGTTTCTAAACAAATTGCACTGAAACATTTGGATCAAAGGAATGCAGAACCATAGTAATGGGAGAACAATTTGATCAAGGGAAAATAATCGGCTGTGCCTTTCATGGGAATGGATTGAATTTTAAATTTAGCTTCATCCTTTACATTTCCATCTTCTGAATTCTGAGTCTAAAGAAAATCTTTTGTTCCCAGGGAAGAAACATTTCCTTGTGGCATTTTATGTTCAAGAGTTATAAGCCGAAAGACTAATCAAACTGCCTCTGCCGTGAGGGGTCAGCTGCACAGGACAGACAGGAGCCAGGACTCAGCTATTATTAACTACCATCACTAAGGTGTGCGTGATAGAGCCACACACTAGTTTATTTCTTACAGTGTGCGGTTAATCTAGCATTGTAGGGGAACTGGCTCTGAGTGTTTTATACAGCAGTCCCATGTCTGCTGGAGAGCAAGTTTCTTAAAATATCACTGTGTCCAATAAGCGCGCAACTCTGTAGTATGCTCTCTTTACACACCTGAGGACTCCTAGCTTCCAGGGTATCAGGATGATTGGTGCTTTTAAAGTTTTTATTAGTTGTTCTTTACCTCTGCTTGTACTTCAAGGCTTGTTTTGTTTTGTTGTAGTCTGGACCTGGGAAGTTTGAAAGCATTTCAGTTCTTCTGAATGTTGTTTTTTTTCCATTACACTGACTGGATGTCAACCAAATACATTCAATCTATTTGGAATAGAATGATGTGTAGCCGGAAACAATAGTAGCATTTTAAGCTAACAGGAGCTTAATGCTGGGGTTTTTTTTTCCCTTTTATCCGTGCTTTGATACTACAAACCACAGCATGGTCTTAGTTTAAGCATTAAATAAGCTTAAGTTAGAGGTTCATTACAGGAAGGTTTGATTGCAATAGAGATACACTGCAGTGAAAGATTTCTTTGTCCTGTTTTTGTGGTGGTGGTGTTATTCATGCATGATTTGATTTATTCCTACTTTTATATAGTACCATGATAGGCAGTTAACATCATGCTAAGAACAAACCTTTGGGAAAGAGGACATTATTTTTGGCTATTAAAAATTATGTCAGCTGAGAGTTATGCTATAAAATTTATGTTGTTTTTTCAATAAAAGTGCTATTGCCATATTTGGTTTTGTAAAAATACTACAAAATACATGCTGAAATAAACTTCCATAAATTTGCGTTTGTGATCAGGTTGCATTATAATTTGTTTCTGGCTTCTACTGCAAGCAGCTTTGAAATAAAAAGTTTCTGAAATTGTGCAAAAGCAACAGTTTTCTTCAGCAGAAACTTTTCAGGATCAGTAATTGAGAAGAGTGAATTTCTGTCATTGTGTGACTCCCCTAGCTACAAGTTACTGGTTTTATTTTCCAACATGAGTAATAAAATATTTTTTTCTCTGGTTGTCTTTCCCTTTACAGATCCAGCTATGGGATACAGCAGGCCAGGAGCGCTTCAGAAAGAGCATGGTGCAGCACTATTACAGGAATGTACATGCTGTTGTGTTTGTGTATGATATGACAAACATCGCTAGTTTTCACAGTCTGCCTTCATGGATAGAGGAGTGCAAACAACACCTTCTTGCCAATGATATCCCACGGATTCTTGTTGGAAATAAATGTGACCTGAGAAGCGCTATTCAGGTACCCACGGACTTGGCCCAGAAGTTTGCTGATACTCACAGTATGCCGTTATTTGAAACCTCTGCCAAAAACCCCAATGACAATGACCATGTGGAGGCCATATTTATGACACTGGCTCACAAGCTTAAAAGTCACAAGCCATTAATGCTTAGTCAACCCCCAGATCGTGATGAAATACATATAAAGCCTGAATCAAAGCCTGCCATGACCTGTTGGTGTTAAATCATGCTATCAACTATCTTGTCTTGTTTGCAAATGCTTCAAAATTATGCTCTTGGCAAAGTTCCAGGTTTTGGTAGCAATTATAGCAAATCTGTTTGGCACTTTAATGTGTTGGGTTTGTTTTGTTTAATGTGTTTGGTTTTTTCCTGGTGTAGATGTGCCCATCTCATGTTCTTGCACTTTGTAATTGTACTTTCTGAATGACTGAAGTTTCACTATAATTCTACAAGAAACTAGACTTTTAAGTGAAGTTTTGACAGGAATATTTGGTGACTGCTAGCAAATTGATAAGCAAGGAACTTTTTATTTTAAAAACAAGCCAGGACTGTCAGATAAAGTTTTGGCTGTCAGTGGAGGTGCACACTGCTAGCTTTTGGCCTGTCCTTCCACTGTAAACTTCATTTCTTCGTGGGAATTGTAAGAGAAGTGGCAGACTTGTCCCTGCCTCTAGGCAATTATTTGATACTTATTTAATTTTTCATAATTAATTTTTCATAATTAGCATGTAAGACTAATCTATGCATTCCTTCTTATGGAAAGTACTGTAGCATAGGATTTGGGGTAAATCTGCGACTATAACAGTCCATAACTTCTCTGACCTTTTTAAAACTTCAATTAGGACTAACTTATAAAGATGCTGTGTTTGAGTTGAGTGCCCCAGGGTAAGTAAAAACACTTTAAGTAGATAAAAGAAGTGAGTGAAGAAGTTGGCAAAAGCCTACTGATTTTCAAAGACAGAGGTTTCAGAGGATTTTGGAGATGGTTAATGCTTTTCAAATACCTTGAAAAAGCTTTTTGCAGCCACCATGATAACATTTTAGGGATGGAAGTGCTTAGGACAAAATGTTAAGAATATGGGATTTACTTAAAATACTTCTGCATGCAAAATAAATTATGTCTTGAAACATCGGGAAAATCTGCCATCTGTTACAGATTTTTGAGCTAAAACCTGCTTGTGTAATGTCATGGCTGTATGTGGGACATCCTTGGCATTACTAATGTTAGTGGTGGGTTAGATGAGGGAAATTACTCCTCTGGAACCATCTTCTGTGTTCTCATAACTGCAACAGTTTTATTTCTGTTCTATCTGAAGGTCAAGTTTAATAATAAAAATGGTGCTAGGTTGCACGTAATTACATAAAGCAAAATGTAAGCCATAGAATGTAATCTATGACTTCATTCATGTGGCATGTCAAACAGTGTTCTGTGATTTTGTTTTTAAGGAAGTAAAAATGAGGATTTGGGTTTCCACTGTATAGCATCTGATGCTGACTGGAAACTAAATGGAAGGGCCAGCTCGGAAGCTGCCACCCTACTGATCACGTTAGAAACAAATTATTGAAATAAGATAACTAATATTATTTACACTATTACAGTTAATAAGGTCTTATTATATTGCAAGTTATACTGACAAAAGAAAAATGCATTGGCTTTTTTCTAGATTCAGAAAGAGCATTCAGTTTGGTCTAATATGATTAAGATGCTTACAAAAATTAAAGGTTTTTGTTTTTTTTTTCTTGTGTAAAGCTGCTACAACAGTGACTAATTTTGATTAGGAAGCATTTGGAAAAGGGAACTTTTGTATTCACTCTGAACCTTACATTACTAGAATTTGATTTACAGTCCTTTCAGAAACAATCATCTTTTTAACACTAGCGTCCTTAATGATTTCTTAAGAAAAGGATTTATGTGTATACTATTGTAAATAATTACGGTTTACAGTCCTCTTGGACAATTTGTTTTTCACTCATGTCCTTAATCCTTCTTCTCGAAAGATTCCATCTTAACTTTGCTGATATTATACAAATAGTTATCTTTTTATTTTTATTTTCCTTAAATAAAAAAAGAAAAACAAAATGAAGAATTCCAAAGTCAGTTGGTCAGGTTTGGGGCTGAGGTAAGGAAATCATGTAGCTATGATGTTACTGTTAAATTTGATATCAAACATCTACAAATCTGTTAATTTTTTTACTTATTCAGCACCTGTAATTAAAGGCCCTTGTGTCATTAAAATTGTGTGGAAACAATGTTCCAGTATGTAATTTCATCTTCAGCACAAAGCATGTTTCAGTGGTTCTGTCATAAAGGCACTGTGGTCATGAATGCAGGATTCATTATGCTCCTGGCTTGCAGTGGTCATGTTCTGCCCACAAAATTGATGTCAAAAGTACCAAATACTTTGTATATGTATTTTCACTTCACCAAATTGTAAAGTTGGGTTATTTTGTACAAGTTGGGGGAAGGGCAATACACAATCCCAGAAACCTAATAAACTGGCTTTGCCCCAAACTGTTACCACTTGTTTTCAATAGTCATGCTAGGAGTGATGTAATTTTTTATGGTTAAATAAGTTTTTGAAATCTCAAAGGGAGGAAAAAACGTTTCTAGTTTCTGTATGTGTGGGTGACAATTTTGTGAAAGGCTGTCATAATACTTGGACTACTGTCAGTGCTTTCCTGCAATGGTGCTGAGTTGTTTTGACACATCAGAAGCACCCACCTGATGATTCAGAGGCATGTTTGGGATTTATTTCAGATTCCAGAAGAATGGTTCCAAAAGTAGGAATTACTGCCCCTTGAAAGTATGTTGAGACCCTAAAGGCGTCTTCTCTACTGTTCTTCTCATGGTCTCACTTCATGTTCAGAAAGAAAAGCTCGTAACTTCACATACAGGTGGGACTTCGTGATTTCTAAAGTCAGCCTGGCAGTGTACGCCTGACTTGTGTGCACACACACACAGCAAGGCTTCAGCTCCAGTTAAGCTGGCTTCTTGATGAAGACTGTAGCCCTTTCCCCACAAAGGAACCCTCAAATAATTTGTGTTTCACTACTGTCCTGTTTATGGTCCTTTTACAGTTCCACACTTAATATTGTCTATAAAAAAACCCACCACACAACCAAAAAGCAAAACACATTTTTAGAACTCTTTTGTGTCTTTAAATATGATTGCAGTTGTCACTTATCACACATTCTACTGAATAATTAAACAAAAGTGTCTATTGAATGTGTTTACCATGTGCTTTTGGACCCTAGGAAAGACCAGAAGGACCCTTAGCAGACCACCAGCAAGTGCAATTTAGGAGGGCAAGAGGCTGACAAGCCATCTCTAGATGTGTCCTAGTATTCATGCATATACTTGCTATGAATTAGTGTTTTCCTGAGTTGTTGGAGTTGTTTTCTTTGTTGTGGTTTTTGTTTCTTGGGGTTTTTTGTGTGTGTGTTGTTGGATTTTTTGTGGTCGATTGGTTTTGTTTTCTTTTTAATGTTTCATGTCTTCATCATGATGCTATAGCTAAGATGCATAAAAACACCTGAGGGGTTTATGTGTACTGTGATCTGCCCAGAGCAAAAAAACAAAGAAAAAAAAATAAAAGAAAAAAAGGAAGGGGATGCTGGGCAGCAGAACAAGCATTGGTGACTGTCTTCTCTAACCCTGCAGCTTTGCATAATGACATAACTGCTCAGTGTGCTGCTGCCTCTGGCTGCGTCATGGTTTGACTCGGGATGGGCAGCTAAACCAGCAACAACAGTGCTCTCCATCCCCTCCCACTCCCACCCTGGGAGGGAAAGGAGAGAATAAGGAGAGAGACTTCTGGATTGAAAACTAAACTAGACAGCTTTAATTAAATACTACTAATAAATACTAATACTACTAATGAAATACAAATAATACTAATATAAATCGTACTAATACTAAAAGAAAATACGTACAATTATTTACAAGTATTTGCAGGAATATGCAAAACCCCTGCCACTTCCCCCCACCCCCAGCAGCTCCCAGGGCATCTCCTGAGCTGGAAGCAGTTCCAAAATGTCCAGGAGCTGCTGGAGAGAGCAGACAGGAGCTGAAGGGAGAGTGATGAGGTTCAGGAATGCACGGGCCTGAGGATCAATGGTGATGGATAGATGGAGTCCTCCCTGGCTGCCGGGCATGAGCAGAAGAGAAGGAAAAGAGGCTTGACTTCCATGATCTCTAACTTTATATCTACACCGACATAAATATATGGAATGGGATACTTTAGCTGGTCAGTTTTGCCATCTGTCTAGTCCACTCCTCCCTATGGGAGGGGTTGTAGATATGACTCTTCTGCTCCTTTAGTGTTCAAAGCAGTAGCTTCAACAAGCAGAGCAAAATGTCCTTGGTCTTTCAGCAGAATCTATAAACATTCCAGTGTTGTAAGTCCACAAGCTGAAAAACTTGCTGCTAGTTTAAGCAAGTGTGCTGCTTTAAAAAGAGTTCACTGAAGAAGAAGAACAACAACAAAAAAACAGTAAAAGGAAAATTTACTTAATCCCAGCTCAAACTAGGACAGGCTGTGATCACTCTTGGACCACAAATTGCTGGTTTTGTCTTTGTCTTCTGTAACGTTTGAACCTGCATTTAGAGGGCAGCTCCTCCATTTTGCATCTGGCCACAGACTCCTGTTACCTGAGTCATCCTGTGTGACACAGCACAATTATCTTTAAACTGTAACCCTGTGTTGACGTTTCCCTGACTGATCATCTACTAACCTCATGCTTTAATAAAATTCATAGTCCTTGTCCCCTCTTGCTAAGTGTTTTTATTTCCACCAGGGTGTAACATCTTAAAGGTCTTTTTTATTTCCCAGAGTCCTGCTTTCAAGGCTACTGACCAATGTTTCCTAATGTTGCGATCCGCGGGATTATATCTCCTTTTTGGAGTGTATTAAGCTTATCAGGATCCACACGTGGGTATCGCCTCACACAGAGGAGCAGAGGCTTTGGCCCTGACTTTTTCGAGTGAATAACTTGCTCAGTGCTTACTAATATTTCCAATAACAGCAGCCAATCCCCAATTGGAATTTATGAAATGCACGGTTTATTGTGGGGAAAACAAAGCAATTTGGGGCAGGAGGTTCAAAAGGAGTGATTAACAGACCTTAAATTTAAACTTGTAGATAATATCAGACTGGCATTCTAGGACTTAAAAGAAAACCCACACTGTTTTGAGTTTGAAGTTTGTTTCCCCCCACTCTGCTG